TATTCAATTATAAACTTTTAAACTCAAAAAATAGTTAAAATCAAGTAGATCTATAAACATATGAAATTCTTTAAAATTGACAATCTAGATAATGTATTGCAAGATGCTTGCATTATTTTTGGGACTTAAAACTTTTTTTATATATATTTATACATCTCGATGTCGAGATGATCAATTAGAGGGTCTCTCAACATTAAAAGAACTTTTTTCGATGGATTTTTGAGGTGCATCTGTAATCCTATATTTTAAGGTTACAACCTTATATAAACTTTTCCCATATAATATATACCCACCACTCATCCAACTAATTATCTATTAATAAGGCAAGCTATAGGATCTATGCTTAGATTTGCCTTTAGGAATCCTAGGACGCCTTATTCCCATAGTGGGGCCATCATGTCTAACTTATTGTTTGAAGCACGTGTACTATGATCCTTCAGGAGCATAGTTTACTTATTCTATTCCTTTTGTTAGAGGACCTAACGTGGGAGGTTTTTTTTATTTTTTCATCCAAAATTTTTGGGACCATATAAGAATTACTGGTCGACTATTCTCAAAGAAATTTTTTAGCATTTTGAGATCTCACCATTCTCTGTTTCAATTTTTAAGACATTATATGTTTTCAAGTGTGAAGATGGTACAATTGGGAAATGTTTTTATTGAGGTTAATCTATGGGTTGAAGAGGTTACAACCCCTAAATTTGAAGTCCTAAAATTGATTCTTAGTAGGGCTTTATCCGAGGAAGTAAATGAACATTCTACTCCAGGAGGTGTAGAATATCGTTTGGCATGATAGATATCTTATCTTATTTTGCGTTGAAAATATTTTGGTCCCAACATTTTGATAGTACTTTATTAAATTTCAAAACCTAGGTCCAATCTGAGAATACAAGATAACATGACACATGTTTTGTTCCACCAGAGGTTTTAAGGAAAGAACTTATATAAGGTTTCAACCTTATACTGCTGAAGTAAGGTGCATCTCAAAAATCCTACGGCGTAGAGTGTTCTAGCTTAGGAGAACCCTCCAACTCATCATCTCGACCTTGAGATAAATGGACATGAAGAAAAAAAAGAATTTCAAGTCCAAAAAATAGTACTTCCTGGACTGTCTACTTTCAAGATTTTCAAGTGTTTCTTGATCTGTATCATTTTTCAAATTTTAAATTTTATAACTGAGGATAAAACGGGATTTTGATCCCACAATACGACTTTTGACACCGAAACGACATCTCTAAGTAAAATTTATAGGCGCGCAGTACTGGTACAGTATAAAGAGGCAACTTTATACAAACCTCACCCTATTTTTAATATCTGCACGACCATTGATGCTTTAATAATGTTTACTTAAACAAAATGTTCAACATTCCTTTTTATTAGTTAACTTTCCAGCCTAAAGACTTAAGAAAAAGAGCTATTATTGACAAGACATTAAAATTTGAATATTTCACCAGATCCGCTGATGCAATTGGCCACCGGTTGTGACGCCCAGATCGACAATCTCCATTGGTGGGAGTTCGGAAAAAAAATGGAAAAATAAAAATAGGTGGGAATCGACTTATTTCAACGTCTACAAACCAATGTTATTATGATAGGACTGGTTACTAAACAGTTGAGGGATTTGGGCAAGTAAACGTGGTTGAACGGCAGGCTCGAATCGATTGGATATGATTTTCGAAATTCAAAAAAAAAATATGAATAATAGTTTTAGAAAAGAAAATTTGAGGATTCTTGATCTGGATTGGAAATTGTTTGGGATCGAAGCTTTTTTATAATGGTATCGGTCCCAACCCTATTCCCATTAAAATTCCCTTTTCATTTTTATTTTATATTTTTTAAAGCTTTTTTAGTTTTGGGCCTCCTTTAATCCCCATCCTATAAACCCTATTTTAATTTTATATTTAATATTTATCTGGATCAACAATTTGGACGATCACCAATCCAGTGAACCAACACAGATCTCCAGGGTGAACAATCCACTGTACTTGTTCGAGTTTCAGAATACTAATTTGATTGGTTTGACCGGTCAAAATCAGTCAATCCAATTGGCTAAAACCAATCGAAGTTTTGATTGATGTTCTACCAAACCCAATTAAAGCAAAGGCACTAATCATCGATCCAACCAATGGTGTTGTTCGGTCCCGATAAATATACCATATACCTTGATACCCCACCCAACCATCCAGAGTTACACTTGGAGATAACGGTTTCACCCGCCCCATTTGACCCGGAGATTCAAAACCGTTGATTCGATAATGATGTTAGCGTGAAATATTTCGCTCAGGCTTATGCATGCTCTAGGATTCTTGTGGTTTGTTGGACAGGAGGGACGTAGGGTATATCTAACGGGTGTGATTTGCATAAGATTGGAACTTTAAACCATCAAGTCAAGGGCACCTCCAAATTTTGTCATGAGATGCAATCTTAATATTGAAAATTCTCAAGATGGCTCGATAATCTGTATTCATCTCTAATTATAAAATTTTAAATTCTAAAAATAGATCAAATAAAGTAGATCCATAAATGGATGAAATATTGAAAATAGATAGTCTAGAAAATGTATTGCAAGATGTATTATTTTTAAAATTTAAAATCTTTTTTTTTTTTATATCCTCGATATCGAGATAATCAATTAGGTAGTTTTTCAACATCAAAATAGTTCCCTTTTTTTTTTTTTTTTTTTTTTTTTTTTTTTTTTTTTTTTTTTTGGATTTTTTGAGGTGCTCCTTATAAATTGTCAATCTTATATAAACTTTCTTCATATCTAAATTTGGTGGCTCAACTTTTAATGATTTGAGTTTGCGAGACCGGCTGGTCTAACCGGCGACTCGTTAGGGAACATAAGAAACTCTTAGTGGCCACTTGCCCCCAAATACTTTGAGGGTTTCCTTGAAGTTTGAAATTTGGGCTTTAATGTCCCCCCATATCCTTCTTCATTTTCTATTATTAGGCTTTGTGAGGGGGACGGCTTTAGCTTTTGTTTCTTTTTATTTCTTTAGGAAGTATTCTAGGGCTTCTTTCTATAGGAAATATTTCTTTGCTTATTTCAATGTTCGAAAAGTCGTCTCGGGCTGATTGTTTGGCCGATGCCTAAGCCAAATACTCGCCCGAGTCCAAGTAACTTGGCCTGCGTAGGGCTGAGTATTGTAGCAGCTGAAAATTATTAAACAATTACAAAATAAAAAAAATCTCAAAAACTAGGAAAATATTTTGAAGCAAAAAAACATTTGTGGTTAAAAACGTGGTGAAAAAATAGATTTTAGAAAAATGAATCCGTGACTGGGGACATTTGTAAAATTTTCCAAAAAAGATGGAAAAAATGTAAAAATAAGTATTATGGACAAAATATTTTTCCAATCTTTATGAAAAAGATAGAAAACATAAATAAATATGTGAAAACTATATTTTTATAAGTTTTTTTAAGAATCCTTAGTTGGACTTCCAACTCGAACAGGGCTCAAGAAGGGCCCGAGCCTGAGTAACTCGGCCGAGTCGAAACTACTCAGACGACTTTGGAACATAGTTTATCTTGAGGCTTCTTTTAATTGGTGTAGGGGCTTTTGAGTTATTACATTGGGTTCCTTTTTTTTGGAACAGGTTATTTATTACATTGGATTCGTTTCTAGGATTCAAAGGTTTAGGTCTTTCTAAGCCTTGCCTGCCTTATGTCGCTTCTATGATAGGGGTGGCAACCGATTAGGTTGGGTCTGGTCCGGGTTGACCCTCCACTTAGACCCAGACCTGAACTGGACCTAGGTTGGGTCCAGGCAATTTGGATCCGAACACGACTTGGACCCAGGTCTAGGAATTTATAAAAAATAAAAATTTATTTTATATATTATTTAGTATATCATTTTATATTTACATAGTTTATGACGGGTAGGGGGTTGGGTCGATCCTGACCCAATCAACCTAAAAGGGTCCATGCCAGCCCGAATCCCAACCCGGGTTGGTCCAAGTCATTTGGACCTGGTTCAGGACCCGCCCGGTCGCAACCGATTGCTACCTCTAGTTCTATTTACTAGAAAAAAGAATACCTCATATGGCTTCTATCCTTCTAGCCTACTTGCATTACCCATCTCATTTTTCTAAAAATAATAAATGGTTTTAGTGGTTTCTAAGGAATCTACAACTGCCTCTTTAGCTTATCTCATGGCATTCTAAACTTCTTTTGAAGGTGTTGGACATTTCAAGGGTTTTTTTAGTGTTTTAAAAATGTGTATATTTAGGGGCTTTTACTTGGGAGTTTGGAATTGTGATAGTAATGCATACGAATGCAGTGGTTTGGAGTCGTGATAGTAATGCATGCAGTGGAATGCATGGAGCGATTTACTACTTTTTTACTATGTATTAAAGTAATTAAGAGCAGAGGAAGACCCATGACTCTCAGGTAATGGAACAATTAAGGTAGAGAGAGATGCATGATAGAACATTGTTAGAAAGTGTGACTCGGACCGAGTAATCGGTCCTAGCCCGAGCTGATTACTCGGGCAGAGTTCGAGTAACTCGGCCCTAGTCTTAGTAAATCAGCCCGAGTAGTGTTGAGTATTGCAGCAACAAAACAACAGTTAAAAAAAATAAAAAATTTCAAAAAAATAAGAAATGCATATTTAAAGTAAGATTAAGCATAACATATTAAAATGAGGTTAAACAAGTAATAAAAAAAATAGTTTTTAAAAAATAACTTGACTAGGGGTATTTTTGAAATAATTAAAAATATAAAAATAAGTATTTATGATGAAAACACTTTCATGTCAGAAAAAAATATCACAGAAAATATATAAAAAATCTCCTTTTTATTTTTCATAATTTTTATAACATCCAACAGCTATTGAAGACAGCCCGAGCCCGAGCCCGAGCCCGAGCCCGAGCCCGAGCCCGAGGCTGAATAAGCCACTCCGATTTGCGGACACTGGATGGGCAAGAAAGTGAAAAGACCACCAAGTGAGAAAGAGGCAGGGAGGGGAGTGAGAAGACCAACAGGGCAGATAAGACAAGATAAAAAGGCCCATAACTCAAGAAAAGAGCCCACCTTACAGAGATAGAGAGAGAGAGAGAGAGAAGAGATAACACATGGTGCATGCGTTGATAGATATAGAGAGAGAGAGAGAGAGAGAGAGAGGCCCATAACTCATGCCTGCATGCATGGGCACGCAGAGCTCCAAGTGGGCCTTCCCTGCTGCCCATAAACATTCAAGCTGATGCATTGTCTTGCCTGTCACCCCATCACTCAGTAACCCCAAACGTCTCTCTCTCTCTCTCTCTCTCTACTTTCTCTCTCTATCTTCTCTCTCTGCTTTTTCTCTCTCTTGAAAGTTGAAACCACACCATTAAATTGTCAGGAACCCACCCAGTCAAAACCCCAAAACTATACTTTTGACTCTTTGCATGCCAACTGTTTCATAAAATAACCCCACATTCGATGCTCCTTCCCTCCTCCAATCTATGTTTAACTCCCCTCTTCTCTCTGTTCATATTCATTCCTGTCTGCTTTTTCTAAAGCAAGAGCAACACCTTCTAAAAAATATGGGCTTTTCATCTGTTTCTCTCTCTACTTCCAGTATGTTGCCCCACCCATGAGAGAGAAAGGAAAAAAACCATAAAATCTCACACCCCAACTTCATAAAATGGCCGAGGACGAGAAACCTAATGGCCCCATTGAAGTTGCAGAGAGCTCGAGGTCCTCTAATGGCGAAAACAGGGTGTTCCCCTGCCTCTTTTGCACAAGAAAGTTTTTCAGTTCTCAAGCTCTAGGTGGCCATCAAAATGCTCACAAGAAGGAGAGAACGGCCGCTAGAAAAGCTCAGAGAGCGAACGATTACAGGCTTTGTGCGTTGGGTTCTTCTCAGCCGTTAGCCATGGCTCCGAACTTGGGTTTTTATGGACCTCCACTATACATAAGTGCTCACTCTGCTAGCCATGTTGGATCACAAAACGCGCAGTTTTGTGGTCATGGGTTCGGCTCTAATGGAGCCCCAAGGTTCAATCCGAGGTTCTCTGGTCCATGCAGGGTACCATTGTTTGGATCAGAGGAAGAGGAGAATGGGTTTGTGAATTTTCAGAGGGGTTTCAGGATGAGAGAGAGAGTGTTTTTCGATGAACCTGAGGGGTCTTTGCCGAAGGAAAACCACAGGCTGGAGAATGAGGCTTCCGGTTCCGATACGGATCAGAAGCTGGATCTCTCTCTGCATTTGTAGTCATGGAAAGGATCAAAACACCGGGTCTTGGAGTCTCACAAAGTAAACTTCTCTCTCTAAAGCTCTTCCTCTCTCTCTCTACACCCATGTGTAATAAAGGAAAGGAAAGTTCGTCCATGGTTTGCCTGTAAGATGGTTTTTGAGTGGATTTTCCCCTTTACTCTCCAGTCTTTTGTGGTTTCTTTGAGTTGTGGTTGTTTTAGTGATTTCAGTTTCAGATTTTAGGGTATGAAGAAACCATGTTCTGAATTTTGAATTGCAGTGAAAGACTGATATGAAAACAATTGCAGTGAAAAATGTGAACTCTACCTGCAAGAATGGAGTATATTTTGGAAAAGTATAGTCCATTGATTTGAAAACCGATAAAACTAACTAGAAAATTGATGTGTTCGTGGACTCACCCATCTTTATGAGATAGCTAATGATTTTGATTATAATACTTTTCCTTTAAATTTTTCGTGTTTTTTTGTTTGAGTGAATTTACGGACACAAAAAAATACTATGTGATGAGTCAATTTTGGGTTAAAGTTACAGGAAGGACAATCAACTTGAGGTTTTGTGTTTTTTCTAAAATTGCCCCTTGGTTCACCTCTTTCTCTTTCTTGTCTTTTCTTTTTTTTTCTCTCTTTTTTTTCATTATTATTATTAAATTTTTTTCTCTAAAATTGCTACTGGTGCTCGTCAAGGAGGTTGACATCCTCGCACCGCAATAACTCATTTATTTGCTAAGAAATAAGGCGGTACGAAGATGCCAACCTTAGACTGCCTTCTACATTGGGCCGGGGCCTCACATTAGGCACCGGCCTAGTAATGAAAAAACTAAAAGAAAAAATTAAAAAATGCAAGATGGCAAAAAATACAAAACGTAGGTTGTCCAATTTTCCTTTCACTCAAAATTGGCGCATTTCTTTTTCTTTTTTTTTTGGTAAATTACTCTTTTTTAAAAAAATTATTTGAATTTAGTAGAGAGAGGGACAAAGTGTGAGGGTTACTTGCGAGAATGAAGTATTTATTGGAAAATATAGTCCAGTTATTTCAAAACCAAGGAAACTAATGAGAAATCTACTTTGTTCGTAATCTTTGTGACCTTTATAAATTGGGTGCAGTTTGCATACGGATCCATCCATAGGTGTAGAGGTAAAGTGGACTTTTAAATTTTATCGTAGTATATAATTTTAATGTAAAATGTTCTTATGATTATTTCAAAATCTATTTTTATATCTAATTATAAAATTTTAAATTTCACAAATGGTTAAAATCAAGTATCTATAAACATATGAAAAT